ACCTTCAGACACGGCTGAGGACAGAGGCTGTAGTGATATCTCCAAGGGCAGCAAGTTGCAGGCACAGACTCAGGAGGAGAGAACTGACCTGAAACACAGAAACCCCAGACCTGCCTGATCTACATTCCAGGAGCTGGACAGAGTTCCCTGATGGACAGAAACGCCAAGTTCCCTTAAAGGCTAGTTCCTTCCCTTTCGGTTCATGTTACAAGCAAGTAGAGGGAATCAGAAACTTTGCTTCCCACAAAAGTAATTAAATGAACGGAGAAATGCATCTTAACTACATTTTACCTACAATGAACTGACTCTTGTTATATTTTTGTAAAATTTGGTAGTAGAAGAAACCTTAGAAATTCTTTCATTCTCTGACTTTGAAGGTCAGAAAACAATTGAGTGCCAAGTAGCACACCTCACATGGCCAGTTGGTCATTGGGCCTGGTTCACAGTGTTTTATCACTATGGTTAAACTAAATCCAAATTGAGAGGCTTTTGTTCAGGAAATGAGAGTTTGGTCTCATTTAGTAAAATCCAAATATTTCATACTTGCTATGTGGTAGGTGTTTCAACAAAGGTCAGCGATGTTTTGTGGGCTCTGTCTGTGCTGGGGCAGGGAGAAAGGAGACTAGATATCAGTAAGGGAGTCCCAGGAGGTCTCTACACTCTCACCCCTGATTTTGCTGACTGCTCAGTGGGTGGAATGCTAACAGTGGGATCAAAGGTCCCCTAGGAGGCAGAGCCAGCACTTGGAGGCCAATGACAGGCAGCCAAATTCTACGTGCCCTGAGGCTGCCTTCCACAGGGACGGGCAGAGAGGGGACCTGCAGAATCCAGTACCCTTGGGATTACTTTTATCTCACAATATGTTTCTCTAGTAAGTACTTACTTGTCAGTTGGTTTTTAAATGTCATTAGAATAGTAACAAAGGTACTCATTAAGACTCCAGTAAGTCTACTCATTTCTGTTCTACTTTAATGTTTACAAACAATCACTCAAGGCTTTCCCTAAAATGCCTGTCAAAATCTCAATAGATTTTTAAACATCCTCTTGGCTAGTAAAATGGTAAGCTGCAACCTTGACCTGCAGGAATACTTGATGAATGCAAAGCGAATAATGAATGGGAAGCGAATAGTGTCAATGACTTTCATGTTTAGTGCCAGTATTTCCCGCCCACTGTTCGTACCTGCTTGGGAAGGGAGGTGTAAGAGACTGTTGGACTGAAGTTATTTTCAAGAGCGGATACATTCAAAGCAGATAATCCACAATATTAGTTATATTTTTTCCTCCCTAAATCCTTTCAAAGGAATTTGGCTTTAAATTTCTGCAAGTACACTTTATATCTTTGACCAAAGGGTTATCAGGAGGCTTTGTTCATCAGGATATTGTGCTATAGTCAAAATATTTATAGCAAATTAAAAATAAAAAGGTAACAGAGTCAAAAAAATCCCTGGCCAATACAAATAAACATATAAACAATGCTAAGTATGCAAAGGATGCCTAAGCCACTGAACACCAATCATAAAATGCTTTCCATCTGAACCAAACTCAGAAGGACTAAAGAGTTGTTAGGTCAAGACTGTTACTGGCAAACACACCCTTTTTCCTGACCTTTCCTCTGATACAGTTTATCTGACATGTGATCTTGACCAAATTCTTTGCACTATATTCATCCTGCAGTAAAATCTCTGAAAGTACACCACCCACCTTCTAAACAAATACCACAAGACAAATTGCACTACATTTAAACAGTAAAAACCATCATGTTCGTCTCAGAAACCAATTATGTACCTACTACATTGTGCAAAAGATCTGCCCTTTTGTATACTTTATAGAGAAGTGAACTCAAAGCGATAGGAAACGAGGAATAAGACATCACCCTAGCTGTCTCTGGAAAAGAGTGGGGCATCCTAGAAGGTCACATCTATTCATTTTCCTCAAAATACATATTCTGCTTTTCTGACACAGGTTGTTTTGCTGAAATCCAAGGGACATGATTTTTATTACAGTCATTTTTTCCAGAGACACTGGTTAAAAAAATGATATTGAGGCAGATGGTGGCTTGGGGTTGGGGTACTGATAAACAATTTTTTCAAAAGTTTTGTGGTATATAATTAAACTGCCAGGAATGAAACAAAACACCAAAAAGATATGTGTATTTTAAAAAAGTATCTAATTATTTTGATTTTCAGGAATCGTTGATAGTTCTCTCACAAGAAAAAAAATAAAGCATGAAATTGAAAACAGGAGATTTTTCTAGATGCTTTTTCCTAAACCAAGGATAGTGGGGCTAACATCTTGCCATCACCTAGATTTGATGAGTAATGCCGCTGATCACTCTCTTACATCATTGTAAAAGTGTCATCCTTGATAATTGCGGTCTCAATCTACATTATGAAATAAGACAAAATTCTTAGAGTACTCTTTCATCAAGAATTTTACCCATTCTGTTTTTAGGATGAGCAATGTTTTGTCAGTATGGAGCTAAGTCACTTAGGTCATAAAGAAGTTTTGAAGAAACGCTTTAGAAATGCTGTTTCCTCGTTCCTGAATCAGATGCCCAGTGCTAAGGTTGGACTGTGTCCCCCAAAACACATGTGCTTGAGACTCACTCTCTAACACAACAGCTTTGGGGATGGGGCTTGGTCAGAAGTGTAGGAGCAAGTGGCGTGCTCATGGATGGCTGCAACCAGTGACAGAAGGGTCTGCACTGTGGCTCTGGGCTCCCTCTGCTGCTGTCTCCTGTCCTTCTGACATGTGTCAAGAGATGAGGTCCTATGAAAATGTAGACGTGGTTCCCTTGATCTTTAAATTCTTAGCCTCTAGAACTATCAAAAAATAAAGTTTTCTTTTATGAGTTACTAACTTCTGACATTCTGTCATAGCAACGCAAAATGGACCGAGACACTGGCACCTAGCTTTTTGCTTGTGTGAAGAAAGGCGAAAACGATTGTACAGTTGTCATTGTTTGCTGAGTATTATTCCCAGGGTCTGTTTATCTAACACAGGTCCTGCCAAGGCCGTCATCTCTTGTGCTTCCCATGAAGCTACTTGGGATGAGGAGAGTGTGGCAGCACTTTAGGCAGTATTGGAAAATCAAATGAAAATACTCATGAGCCCTTTTCTCTAAATTTTGTCTTCTTTTCCATCTTCTTACTTTCAAACAACACAACTGACATCAGACATCGGAAGGAAAAACACTCAGAAAAGGAAAAAGTAAAGTACAAGCAAGCAAAACCCTTCAGGTTGTTGTGTTTCTCTGTGGGTTCCATGCAGGATGCCAGGGACAGGGCAAGTGTCCTGGCACAGCAATGCTGCCCACAGACCACCAGGCTGTCCCTTTCAGTGAGCCTGTGTGCACTGAGCTGTGTCAGACACAGAAGACCGGCGCTGATCCTCTTCTTGCTGGAGGATTATCTCCATTTTGCCAATGCAGAGCAGACCTAGCACAGAAACCTGCAGTGTTTGGGGCCTCTCCCTGGGCATGCAGATTCCCACCCTGACCCAGGGCACTGTCAAAGACTCCCTCAATTCAAGGGAAATCAGCTTCTCCCAGACATGGCCACTGGGACCAAGACCATCTGGAATCCTGCGAAATGTCTCCACAATAACGGTTGGAACTCTTAGAGCATCCTTTTATATCATAAAAGTTTCACAGATGGCACTTTCTTGGGCTGCATCTGGTTTCCATTTTTTGAAAGCTAACTTCAATTTTAGTATTGCAGGTTTTGTTTGCATGGGACAATGAAATAAAATGTCATGCACTTTCCTTAATAATAGTCTTGTGCAGATTTAAAATCTTCTTGAGGGGACATCTTTGGCATCTAGGGATGGGGAAACTGTGCTTCTGGAGAGAGGTTTTTTTTTTTTTTTTTTTTTAATGAGAACATATCTGGGATACTTCTTTTTTCAAAGTAATGCCTTCATTTTCGTTCTCATTAAATCAAACATTAGGTCCTGGATGGTAATATAAAAATAGTTGTGGCTACTGACATTTATTTATAGAGAATTTTTCAGTTCTTTTCTTTCTATCTGAATGAAGAATACAGGTAACAGAAACCAGTAATACATAGCTAAGCTTATTTCTTTTGTCTTATCCACAGTCCTCATTTAATCCTGACTGGCTAGTTTCCACAGGTCCGCATACTTGTATACACATGTACTAGAGGTATTTATGTAAAAATACTTTAGAACAAAAGATTATTTAATGTGCTAGGGACTTAGCTCAGTGGTGTAAGTGCCTGCTTGGCAAGTGTGAAGTGAAGAGTTCAATCCTAGGTACAAAAAAAAAAATTATTTAACTTTCTAGTATTATCGGTAAATAGTTTATTTGGCTTCAGCTGGAACAAATATTTGCTGTGCTACATATACTGAAGGTTTCTTCTTATTCTTCAAATACATGTTTTTTTCTTATGGGGAAAATGTTCTGATTTTGGCTATTGCTGTGTGATCAAAGACAGCCTTCCCACGACCCCAGACATAGCTCCTCTGCTTCCTCCATAGTTTTTGATTAAATTAAACTTGTGAGGACATTTCTAAAAAACAACACCACATATGTTTGCATTTTAACTTTTATTTATAGCAGAAAGTGTTATAGATGGCCATGAATCTTATTTTCTTTGTAAATTTGGGTCAAGGATAAAAATAACATGCATTGAACTTCTTGAACAAAGTGTTAAGCCTTGTATCACTGCTACCTAAATAGCACTAAGAAGTTGATTGTATTTATTTATTTATTATCGTCCTTAAAAAATTGAGACACATAGAGTTCAAGAGACATGGTGTGAAGTCCTCATATCTGGGAACAGTCCCTGTCAGATGGGCAGTGCTCTGCCTTCCGAGGATCAGAATCTGGTGCATGTACCTGATCTCTCTTCTGAGCTTCCAAATCTCCACTTTATGGGTGCTCAGATCCTGCACTGAAATCCAGTCATGCAGGTACATTTCATAGAAGACCAATTAAATCAAGGAAAAAGGGTTAAAAAGATAATGTTTCACAAGGACCCACAATTCTAAGACTACTAATGAAGATTTCCTTCTATTTTTCAAGTTTGTATAGTTAATTTATACCATAAAAATTCTTTGTGAATCACAATTGTTTTTTGTGTCCCACAGATTTCAGAACTCTAAAGGAAACCCTGAGAAGGGAGGGAAGGACAGAGTGGACAGCTTCTACAACACGCAGACTGTGGTTAGAGTTGTGGGCTCCACTTGGAAGTGTGGCCCTGACATTAGTTTCCTGTGATATTCTTGTCTCATCCTTTTCATCTCTCAGATGCACATGATAGAATCTGCCCCTAAGCAACGTCTACTTCTTGACACAAATTGGGAAAACAATACATGAAAAGTGATCAGCAAGCTCTAGGCTTTGAGGAAGTATTGGCAAGGCCCCCATGAAGCAGGTTCTGAAATGGAGATTTTTTGGAGAAAAATAAATGTAATGAGGGGGAGGTCAGAGGAGGGCACAGGGAGAAGCTGGTCTGCTATGCAGCTGTAGCCGCTGCCTGTGCCCATCTTACAGGGGTCTCTAGGGCTGGGTTTCTGGGGTCCGGTGATCCGCAACAGTACTCCTGGACCTCCTCTGCCTTGCTGGAAATGGACATCTAATTTCTCAGTCCCCAGGAAGGAACATACACCTCAGGTGAGATGACTCCTTGCAGCAAGAGCAATGCCTTTGGAAGGACTCAGCTATCACTTTGCAGCAGTGTGCATTCCTGGAAAATGGAAATGTCTCTGTTATCAGAAGCAATCCCACAGCACAGGTCATCATCTTTTCCTGTAAATATCCCACAAATGGTAAGGAGTAGCATCACAATGGTCCACAGTGCAGCCTCAAACTTTTCATTAGAATAGCAAGCAGGTGTTTGCATAGCCAGTGCCAGCCATGACTCACTGTGGTGCAGGAAACAGAATCATCTCACTGCAGAGGAAGAAGTGACCCAAACCAGCATTGGATCCTTTGACACTCTCAGGGTGTCTCCATATCCTGTCATTTTTCAGAACATTTTGTAAAGTGGTGCAATCTGAACTGAGTATTCTGGCTTCTCACTTTTTGGTGTGCTGGACACTGCTTTTATTGATAAAACGGGCAGCTCCTCGCTGTGGAGCTTGCTATCAATGAAGAGTCGAGGTCTTTTCGTTTTGATGTGGTTGGGTAATTGTGTGATTCACCTTTTTCCTAGAAACAGTGGATTTCCACTTTTCTCCATTATATTTCATTTGGTTCATTCTTAACATTTGTAATTTTTGCATTTTTATTTTACCTGTGTTTTGCTTGCCTTCTCCCTGCGTGTTTTAACATCTTAGTCGCCCTAACCATCTCCATTGGAGACTTATTCCAGCTTGGAGCTCTTCTCAGCATGGGCTGCCACATACCCTGCATTTCCTCATTCAAGCCACACATTTTTATTAAGCACTTATTAAATGCCTGGAACTTTTTGGGTTTATTGGTGGCAATTAAAATTTAACTTTCCTACTACCTTGTTTTTAGCCTTACACTCACCCATTAATCTGTCTTCTTTTACACAGATCCAAATGAGTTTGGAATTTACCTCCATGAAGCACAATTCTGCCTGCATTTCTTCATCTTTGCTTAAACCCAACACCTGCTGGAAGGTAAAGCTGGATGCCCTGGTGTGCAATCCATGGAACAGTGCTGTTCGGAAACTCTTATTGCCTTGCAAAGCATGGAAATTTAAAATGATCTTTCAGAAAGTTTCAGAGCAATTTCATAGTGAAATTTATGTTGATAAATTTTGTGTCTAATAAGAAAAAATTGGTTTGCATTTAGCATGGTTTTGTCATTTTGTTTTCTTGTAGTTTTAACAAATAAAATTATCAGTAAAGAAACTTTTAAAACAAGTAAACAAATAAAATCTGAATAAGTCCTTGACTGTATACTTTGAAAGTAATGTTTCAGGATCTCCTTCTGTCTCAGCAATTAAGTCTTCATGTTCTAAATGATCTTGGGTAATTTGAGTTTGTCGTTTATGTTAATTGAGGCCCTTCACCAGGGGTTGTAAGGGTTACCTGTGGGTTTTCTGTTGTCTTCTGGTATAGCCATCTCTGATCTGAGCCTGAGCACATCTGTGTTTACATGGCCTTATCTATTTCTCCCTCTCTCTAGTGCCCAGCACACTGTTTGGCATGATTTAAATAGTTTAAATAAGGGAATGATCACATAAAGATGAGTTAAATTGAGTGTATATATAATACACACACACACACACACACATACACACACACACACACACACATATACAAAAGATGGCTATGATATCCTGGCTGTTGTTCCAGGATCTATTTCTTTCCTTTGCATTTTGATATGATATATTTGTTCTAAAAAAGGACACAGTGCGGTTTCATAGGACAAAGGAGTCTTCATAAAATAAGATTAATCATTAGTATAATTCTACATACTTGGCCCCTCCTTGTTTTAATTTTCTTAGTCTTTATTCTCAACACAACTCATAGTGATTTCCCACTTTCTGGTCTGGATTTCGGTTTCATCTATGTTTCACATGCAATGGAGCACGACTGTAAGTATTTACATGCAAAGGCCTGGATCCTTACACACACACATGGCAAGTGACTGGGTGAGTGTGTGTACCTTGAACTGCATGTTCTGCATATTCCACGGAGCCTTCTGCAGAGCATGATTGAAAACACCCTACTTCATCTGTGTGGTCTCTCTCTACCTTCTGCTCTGCCTCTTGGCCCTATGACACTGTGCCTGGAATGTTGCACCTTCCTCCCGGTTTTTCACATAGAAAGTGCAGGGTGTGTGTTTGCATGTATTATAATGGATATGTTAACTGAAAAATAACACTTCCAGAACCTTCCTCAGTTACTTAATTTAATAGATTTCAACAAGGTCATCATAGCATTGTCATCTCTTGTAATCTTGATGATTGAAGTCGATCAAAAGATACTTTTACTAATGAAATGTAAATGTTTGTAGAGATATTTTGATTGATGTGTTCAAAAACAACTTCATTTAAATAATGAATTTATACAATTATATAAGAGTTTTCTCTCTAAACTTAGAAATATCTACTTAAGGATATGCTTCAGTAATATAGACAACCTATTACCCAAGTGCTTGCTGCAGAAGGGAACAACAATATTCAACACATTAGATAGTTACAAACCAGTGTTATTTTATAATAATAACATTTATCCTCTAGCATCTACCTTACTCTAGAGAGGATCCAAGAACCATGCCACCAATACAAGAAGGTTTGGTATGTGCCTTTGGCCTAAGCTTTTGTTAATTTATCAAACAGAATAGTTTGCACTGTCAGTGTTTGATTGTCCTCTTTTTTAAGCTTTGATTTTGTAACTTGAACAACTACTCCTAAAATAACAATATGTAATTTATCAACTAGTGATTTCTTACTTTTTTAAAAAATTCTGTATTATTTCTATTCTTTTTACTGTTTTGCTTTTTTTTCCTAAATAAAAAAATTTGTTTCTTCCATCATTTAATGCTCCCCTTTCTGAAGCAGGGTTCACCTGTGCTCCTGCTGCTCTCGAGGTAGCTCTGAGACGAGCTTTCTAACTCTCTGCTTCACCTGTACACAGATTGCTCTTCACAGGGTGGGAATTGCGAATGTTGACTCAGCAAATAAAATCTGCTGAACCCTCTGCAATGATTCTGGGTTTTAGGTAAGGACTCATTTCCGTCAGTTATGCTGTTGAACTTGATTGAACATGGTATATGAACTGCAGGTCATACCAATTCCCCTTGTATGAATAGTTATCACATGGAAACAAAATAAAAAATCAGAGGAAAACTAGAGAAAATGGCCATGTCAGATGATAGAAACTGAGATTATGACCATACTTCTGGTTAATATGCTAAGCATGAAAATATAATGAAAATAAAAAAATTTAAACCAGCCTGTCATAATTGACCAAAGAATATTTAAATGACCTGTAACTAGGGTATCTATTATATTGATGGCTCTTTGCAATGTTTGTGGTTGCAATGGAAAAAGTCTATCCTTGCTTTTTTAAAAAAATGAACATCTATTTATCTGATTTTTCTTTTTTTAAGGAAGACTGGAAGGCACGCTAAGTACTCTTACCACTCTTACATTTAGTTGTTCAAGTTTGTTGATAACATACCTTAATACTAGGGAAAGGACTTTGGTATAAAAGAAGGAAGGTTTCAATAACATACCTTAATATTAAAGGAGAGGACTTTGGTATAAAAGTAAGATGGTTTTGATAACATGCCTTAAGATCAGGGAGAAGACTTTGGTGTAAAAGTTGGAAGACCAAAGCCACCCATGTTTTCCAAATCATACAACTTCTTTAAATGAAGTTTTGTAATTATAAACTTGCTTTTAAATATGTTTTATTTACAGCGAAGCCTTGGTTTTCTTGGAACCTCAAATTATGCTGAGAGAAAAAGATACAATCAGAGCTGAACAAACCCACTCTCTTTGGAGATACAAGGTAAATCATTAACACTGAGCCACTCTGACCCTCTTTATGCTCCCTAAATCTCTGGGATGCTGTTTCTGAACTTTCCAGAATGGTCACATTGGGAAGCAAGTAATTCCCGGGATAATGAATGGGAGATTAGCAAAGAAACAGGAGAAGTATATTCTCTTTTACTAAAAAAAGGGAAGTTGTCCAAAAGTTGTTCTTATTTTATTCTTCATGAAAAACAAAGCAAAGCAAAGCAGAAATAGAGTCAAAACAAAACAAAAAGACATGGGAAGGACTTGTGTTTAATGGCCTATGGAAAATCCTTAAGCCTCCCAATCATTTCTTCAGGAAATGAAGAAAGAAATACAAAAAAAAAAAAAATCCATGAAGACTGAAACCCTAATAAAGCAGTCTGCGTAACTGCCCTCTATTCACCAGATTGATTACAGCCTGGGGTGATGGTATATGTATTTGATGTATGTGGCTTTCTTGAAAACAAGGAAATCCTGTTTTGCTAAGAATTTTCAGTTGCTATATTTCTAAGAAATCAAATAGCATCGCAAAAAAATTCTGCATTACTTTAGTAAAATTTTAAATTAAAATAGAAAGTATTCAAATATTACAGGAGGTTGAGATATTATTTAGTTCTAAGATTTTAAAATATTATTTTAAAACACTCACTTAGCAATTTTTGGTTCACAAACATATATAGTTGCAGTCATATAAGTTAATTTTTATGTAAATATATTTATGCCATCCCTGAGGGTTAGCTCTCTCACTACAACAATAAGCAGTAATGTTATATGCTGCAAATATGTACAAACATTTTAGGGGAGAAGACTGACTTGTACTCACTAACCCCAGTTAAATTTCTTCCTTTGAAAAAGGCTGTAATAGCAATTAAGGGCCTGTTTCTCCTATTTTATGGTAAAATTGGTAAGTTTTATCTCCTTATCTTGTTATAAAAAGTACAAATACCTTTTCTTACCTAAGAGCAATATCACTCATGCACCTATGTTCTCAGTTAACAGGGATACAGAGATGCTTATCAAGGAACTAGTTATGTGTTCCAGCAAAACTCTAACCAAGAAAGTCGCATTGCCTTGATTTAAGCTTTGCTAATGAGCTCACTTTTTACACTAGCAATGTGTTTCTTCACAAAGTGTGCCCATTTTGGAAAAATGAATCCAAGAGAGCCTTTTAAACGACATCATATTTATGAGTGTGAGACTCTTTCATTAATTTTTTCCACTTGTGCCTTTCTTACTGACCTATATATCTGAATAATTTTCCAGTAATTTTTATGTTTATGTAATCAACATTTCTTTGTGTGTGAGGTTTTTTTTTTTTTTTTTTTTTTTTGCCTAATGTGACTTTTTCCCCAGTAAAGTAATTAAGGACCACCAAAAAAAATTTTTTTTTAAAAAGATTATTTGTAGAACAAAGAATATAAAATAGGATGTTTGGTAGGCAAGGTAGGATAAAATAAAAGGGTGTTATAAAATACAAAACAAGGGCATTTTCAGGGAAAGGAAATAACATTATAGTGAAGAGAAGTTGGACTTGGTACTTACTGAGTGGTAGTGTGTTTTTTAAGCATTAAGTGGTACTTTTGTCCTTATCCCCTTCTCTGTCCTTTACCAGCCTTGCCCAGCCTGCAATGGTTACCTCTGGATTGGTTGTCTGGGAGGGAAATAACAGAAAGGAAGAAAGGCATAGATAAAAATCTTTGTCTTATATAGGTTCATTTTCATACCAGTCAGCTCTCTCAGTGCTTGATGCAACAATCGACACCCACGACTTTAGAAGCAGAGGTTTCATTTGACGCCTGTTATGAGGGCATTCAGTTCATGTCTGCTGGCTCCAGGCAGAAAACTCATAGCGAAAGTGCCTAGTGGAGTGAAGCTGGGGAGCTCGAGGCCTCCTGGAGGCAAAGCAGGAGAGAAGTGTCAGAAAGGCAGGGGCAGGGGACTAGACCCGTACCCAGGTTAGAGCCTCACAACCTGCCCCAGCACACCCGCTAGAAGTGTACTCCAGGGAAGTTTCCAAGCCAGTCCAGCAGACACAAGCAACTTAACTATCATGGTTTTCTCAAAGCTGAAGTTGACTAAGACAGCTGGACCAGGCTGCCCATTTGAGAGTGAATGCCCAGCAGAGCAATGGGGAGATGCAGGGCTGTGTGTCCTGTGGGACGGGCTGGGAGTTGTTCTGACCAAAGACCTCCTCTGGATCAGTTCTTGGTCTGCAGACCTTCTGGCTCTGGCTGCTTGCTTCCCTCGAAGCATGAACCACGATTCCAAGTAAGTTCTTCCAAGGGATAAATTATTGTCTGTATTTTAGAGCCCTAGAGAAAGGTTTTGCAAAGGCAAGATAACTAGGTCATTTATTCCTGGGCACATAATCCCATTGGTTGTTCTTTTCCAAATCACCAAAGTGGAACTTTTATAAAGAATAATAATTATTCATGGACAATTTTGACTTAAAGCATATTAAAAGATATTCTATTTTTCTGTCACTTTTCATATCCCATTTTCCTTAGCGTTGGTTCTTCTTTCAAGCTCCATATCTCTCTTGGAGGAAAACCATGAAGGGCCCCTCATGTAACTCCTCAGGCTTTTTTCATCTCATTCTTCTTTATAGTCTTTCACGAAAAGAGTACCTTATTTATCTGAAGGAAGGCAGATCAGCTCCACTGAAGTCCCCTGTCGTGCTGCTGCGGATCTCAGATCCACAGCCCCAGCCCTAGCCATGAAGCAAGAGGACTGCCAGGCACCCAGGTGTGCAGGACTGCCACCTGCTCCCGCTTGAAGGCATGTTTCAAACGGGCTGTCCAATCTCTCACACAAGGTTAGCACAGGCTAGCAAATATCTCAACAAAATAAATACGTAAACAAGTAAGTAAAGCAATGGGAGTAACAGTGCTGTGCAGATCCTTTGTGCCCAGTGAAAACTTCATCTGGCTCCAGTGGCTCAAACTTCAAATTTATAATCCCTTCGGAACCCCTCACCTCCCTTTACTCCTTACTCAGGTTCCGTTACAGTTGCATAGTGATCGTACCATCTGTGTCTACATTTCTCCATCTCTGCTCATGGCAGTCCAGTCCAATATTCTGTTTTCTTTAATCAGAAATGAGTCAATAATTTCTTAAATTCCTAAGTTATCCTCTGTTGCATGCACTCATTAATTTGTACAACCTGAATTTACTGAGTGCCCACTTCATTTTTGACATGATTCTATGTGGTCCAATAAAGGAATTCTGTCCAATATTTTAATAAAACTTCATACAAAATGGAGTCCTGACTCTTAAGATGATTGTAACACAAAGAAACAGAGTAAGCAAACAAATATGACCCTAATTTCTATATTCTCTATTTTACCCCAATTCAAGGATTAGTTAATGTATATAAGGATCTTGTGTATTGGATAATGCCGGTATTTTGAGTATAGGCATGAATATTTGTTGTGAATGATCACTGACATTTATGTTTTGACTATGAATCAAAAGGCAATATTCTAATTTTATAAGGAGGTAAAGACAGTTTTTGTTTCAATTAATTTACAATACAGAGGTGGAAATGTGTTTATGGATGGTTACATAACAGATCTATAAGGTAAAGAGGTAACTGCCTGAAGGTATTGCGTATCAAAATAAAGCCTACTGTAATCACAATTTGATTGGTCCCCACAATCCTACAGGATTGGTTAGAACTTGACATATTGCCCAAAGGGGTGTAAGTGCTAAACTGCCCACTTAAATATAATAGTAAATAAATATATAGGTGGCTTATGTATGTGGAACTGTTAAAGTTCATCATGATCGTTTCTTATATACAGCATATAATCCACAGAGATGAGTTGTTTATAAACTCACAAAAACAATTGTGAGTTGACTAGGGAGATATTGACTAGGGAGATACAATTGACTAGGGAGATATTTTCTAAGAAACAAAGGCTCTTACAGAGAATCAGGGCTAGGACAGTAGGAGTTGGCCCAATTTATGTAAAACCTACTGGAATACCATAATTGGTTCAGTCATCATGCTTCAAGTGAGGATTGTGGGAACTGCAGAAAGCCCACAGAGGACTGACACTTTTTATTATAGTCATGGAAAAAAGAATCTTGAAGCCAATATGAAAAGAGGTAGAAGAGAAATTTAAGACATGACTTAATTATAATTCAGGATTGACCTGGGATGAGACTAGGGGGATTTATCATGTTTCTCGATTACTTGTTCTTAATAATGGTTTCAAATCTACCAAAGCTGGTGAAATGAAACACACAAACATCACGTTAGTATTGATGGAACCCTGCACAGACCTGGAGAGCTCGACTGAGCTCCTTACAACTTGCAACGTGAAGCCACAAGAGCTGGAGGGTGGCTTCGGGAGACTCAGCATTGCAAAGAAGCCTGGCAAGGTCATCCGCTGTATACCTGAACTCCTCCTGACTCCTGAGGGTCACCTGAAAGTCCAGGAGAAGACACTGAAATGTCACTAAGGCAGAAACAGAAGCCCAGGGCATGGCTTAATTGAAGCACATGTGTACCTCAGGGTTTTGATATGGCATTCACTTTGCTGCTTCTAACATTTTGCTTTTGACAGTTTAGAAGGAAAGCTGAAAGGAGACAGCAAAGATGGGCAGACGCTGGATGGAGCAGGAGAACATCTGGACCATCACAGCTCCACAGTGCTTCACTTTGGGGACCACGGCTGCCTCTACTTCCCCACACTGCCCACGTCCCTGTGGCCCCGAGGATGTGTCTTCCTGCCATACAGGCTCCTTCCTCTGACATCGCAATCCTTGTTCAGGACTCTAATGCCCCTCACTCTTGACAAAAACATGTGTGTATTTGTACAGCAGTGGCTTCCAGACACGCAGTACACAGTCGGAGCAGGCTGCAGCGAACTTTGTCAGTGTGTCTGTTGCTACCCTTTCTTTTCCCACTCAGGGTCCCATTGTGCTCCTATTCCTTTTTGCTGATGGTGTAAAAATTGATGGCAAGTGGATGAAGTGACCTGGAGCACTGTGATTTCTACCGCAGCATTTTTCTGCTTCATAAATCTGCTTCTTTTAGGCAAGTGTGACCCCGAGAGGGTCTATGATTTAGAATTACAGTTTTACTACAGGAGTCTATGTAGATCAGCTGCCTCGCCCTGATCCCTTGGTCTTTCAGTGGATGCTGTTCCTATTCTATTTGTATATTTCATGTGAAACCACTTCCAAGATTTTTTGAAAGGAGAGACGCAACAAATAAATAATAAGAAAATATCTGAGGCCACAAAGCACCATCATATCAGTGTAAAATCTTTGTTAGGATTTGACATTATTTTCCCCAAGCCAGTGCTCTACCTAATATAACATGCATATAAAATTCTAGCCTGAAAATTTGGAAGCACATTCAAGTCAACAGAATGGCACAAGCTATGCAGTTTAAAAGAGAAATGAAATCTTAGCATAGATCCCTTAACAATTGTGCACAGATGTGTTTTGCAGTGGGTGGTGGCCTGCTCTACTTCACCAAGCATCTTCAAAGGAAGTGGTTTTCTTAGAGTAATTTCAGAAAAAAAAGTTCTAAATAATTACCAACAGTTTTATGGTAGAAAATGGAAATTGGCAAAATTTTTATGACATTCTTTTGTTAATATTATCAGTTTCTTTGTGTTATGAGTTATATAAGGTGTCCACAATAGAAAGTGCTATTACAGGAGACACATGCATTATCTGTTTTTAGCTTAAAACAGATTATTCTCACCTCAGCCACAGTCACCATTTGTGAAGTATATTGTTTTATATATGGCTCATTTTAATAGTCAAAGTTTTCGAATGAACTCTTATTAAGAAAAAGCTTTTAGCCTGTTAAAATATTTACAACCATTTGTTGAAATTAAACCATTAAGTGGGGAAATAATAACAGATTTTATTTTAGTTCTTAGGAAAAAAAAAACAATGAATGATCACAGTCACTGTGGCTAGTAATTGGCCAGTTGGGTTTTGGGGACCAGAATTCCATTTCCTTCCAGCTTTCCTAATTGTAATTTTTATTTTTCTGTAAGTGCTGAGATTTTTAGTGTAGAGAGTGGATTTTGAACCTTTATTTATAGACCTACTCCATTTGTTCTGTGGATAAAGAGCTGGGGAAATATTATTTGCTAATCTAGTTAATAGCTCTGAGAGAGAGGCCGGGGAAGGAAGTATTCTGGTCAAAGGGAGCCCTGGGCTGTGTGCATTCTTGACTGGCCTCCTTGTCACTACAAGGTAGAACAAAGGAAGAGAGGCCAGGGACATTTTTGATCTGATTTATGCAAAAGCAGAGAGATCTTTTCAGTGTTTCAAGGAGATTCTGCATAGAAAAACAGAAGACGCTAAATAAATCCTCAAGAACCACAGCAAAGTTCAGGAACTGTTACTGCAGGGTTACAGACTTGCTTCACTTCTCTTTGCTTCAGCTTCCAAAGTGGTGAGTGGTGGTTAGAAACCCTGTCAGCTTGTCTGAGGACAGGAGACTGTGATATATACAGAAAGGAGACAGCTGAAGATAAAGTTATTGTGGTATTTTATTGTCACTATTCCCCAAGGCTTAGAGTAAGGAAAAAGCAGCACTACCACAGAAAGACATCCACAGAGAGGTCTGCAGGGAAAGAGGGCATGCTCAGTGTTTGGTACCTCCGGCTTGTGGCCTTCAGACGACTCAGAAGTGCAGAGTTGCCCCCTTTAATTATCTACTTCCCCTAATTAATGATCCAGTTCCCCTCTTTTGGATTGTAATATTATATGTTCACGTGTTTTGACAATGGCGTTCAGAGTAAGTATTTTTTTATAAGAAAAATCTGTGCAATACAAATAAAAAGTTTACCCTGTCAGATCATTCTCTGGTGGTGAAATCTAGCATATTATTGGAAAACCTACCTACAGTGTGGTATTCGGTGAAACAAAATAATGGAAAAAGAACAAGTAAGTAAACTACAGTGGGCCACCCCAGGACTTGCTTTTGTGTTTACTTTTGCTGGTCATGATTTTTGTTTCCGTTTTTTACCCATGGGATGAAGGATGCGGCCCTATATGTTTTAGTTATTCATTATTTTCTTTTTCTAAATCAGAATTTCTTCGTTTTAAATTTCTAAATAAAATTGATTGTTTCTGATGCAGTTTCTTGGAATTTTAGGCGAAGACAGTTAAAAGGTTACTTTGAAATACTGTAAGACTCTATAGAGTTAGTTGGTAGTTTGCAGTAAGAAATGACCTAGTGGATACACACACACACACACACACACACACAATTTAAACAGATGGTTCTAAAGAAATGAGATACAGCACATCAGTAAATAGGCAGCAAGCTGTTCCAAATTGCTGTATAGCCAGGTTTGCCAGAGAACAAACCCAAAAGATGTGCACCCACGGAGGATGAGATTAGTGGGAAGGAATGAGCACACGGCTGGCGGGAGGCTGACAACTCCCACCAGACGTGGCCGGCAAGCTGGAGACCCAGGACAGATGGGCACTTAGTGCAAAAAAGGCAGAAAGTTCGGCACTGAGAGTCCAGTGCTTCCACTCACGAGAGAAGCCAGTGTCCTGCTTCCAGGCAAGAAGGCAGCACCCGTCTTTACAGGAAGGAGGGCCAGGCGTCTGCTTCATTCCAGCTTCCACTGGGCTGACGGGAGTGCACCCAGCGTGGACCCATCGCACTCCCTCCGCGCACAATTTCCATGTTAATCTCATCCGAACTCTCAGAAACAGCTGAATAATGCTTGACAAAATATCTGAGCACATTACTCCCTAATCAAGTTAGTATGTAAAATTAAATATCACATCCATCACTCTCATAGAGGAATTTCTTGTTCTAGTAACGCCCAACTTTTTTTTACCATATTAATTTTTTTTTTTTTTTTGTATTTTTGCACATTTGATTCCTTTCCTTTATAGAATCCCATTCACCTTGCAAGGACCAACTCCTTATAAAGATTTTCTCAATTTTTCTACTCTGTACACTTCCTTCCTACAGTAACACATCATGCTTTCCTTTATGTAGTGTTAGCAGCCCCACTGAAACAGCTAACCATCACGGTCCCAAAGGACATCTATTAAGAATACCCAGAAGCGGTGCCGCACTTCTGTAACCCCAGAAGTTTGAGGCAGGAGAATCTCAGGTTTGAGTCCAGCCTACACAATTTGATGACTTAATATGAGCGTGTGTCAAACTTTAAAAAAATATTTTTAAAAAGGGCTGGGAATGTGTTTCTGTGTTACTGGGTTCATCCCCAGTACTGTGTTCACCCCTCCCCACCCACAGAGGCATTCAAGGACATACAATGACATCATCTTTCATCTTCAAATTTTATAATTTTAAAATGGGTGCTCAGGTACCTTGTGATGGAAGTAATACATATGGTAACATTTTGAGAAAGAAAACTGGACAGAATGCTAAATTTTCATGGCTTTTAATGCAGTATATATATTTTTTGTTTTGTTTTTTTGTACGTGGGCAAACTAAATGGAAACAGAAAACTTTATCACACTGTATTCATCATAGTAATAAAAATAATGTGTTTTATATTGAGTCAACAAAATGCCAAGTATTTTTAAAAATGTTTACTAAAAATCTCTAATAATGTGAAGTCATTCATGATAAGTGAAAATCATAGTATTACAATTGCTATATAAAATATAAGAACTAAAAAGGAAATATTCTAAAAATGCCAGCAAAGAGTTAGTCGTTGATAGTAAATATACCACTTACTTTATCATTCATATGTTTTTATTTACAAAACATAATTTAATATTATAGTTTAATTCAGTTCCTTTTGACACTCCTGTTTTAAGTTTAGAGAATGTTATACAAATTAGATTAAAAACTAAAACACCCAATATTTCTTCTACTGATTAATGTTATTCAGATCAAAACCATTATTTTGTAGTAACTATTTCATATGTCAACATCATTGTATCTTCTTTTATGCAGAAGGGTTGATCTGTTAGTTATATTTGAACTTTCCACCATACAAGGGTACCATGAAAGGTGACTTTTCCTCCAAAAATGAGATACCATCTTAGACTTTTGCTGTGTCCTATTGATCCATGTATTGGGAAATTGCACATAAATGTATTCCAGAATATAAAGCTCATTTTATTATTATAGAGCAACAAATATTTATTACCCCTAATGTTTACTGGCTCAAATGCAGAATATAATAAAAGAGCATGTAAAAATGTTTGTTACAAGTGCTAAATCAATATTCTTGTCATTAGTTTAGCTTCAGTATTTTCCCTAACGTAATACTGTTACAACAGTAATATTTAGTAATACAAGTCTCTGCTTTCTTGTATTTAGTAATATAAGTCTCTCCTGGATCATCCCTGGAAGATGGGGAATCAATCCATAGTGTTCAACTTGAGAGACAAAAAAAGAATTAGACTATCTGATTCTGGAACCAAAGTTATTTTTCTTTGGAAATATATATTGGATTTGATTCTGTGGTATTTTAAACATAATAATCCACAGAACTGTCTCCGGGAATAGAAGACTAACATTGAGCTCTTTGCTCCTATGCAATTACAGATCTTCATTTTGAATTTTCATACTGACTTAATTTCCATAATCATTATTAAAAAATTATAAACTCAGACCAGGGAAGTAGATGAGCTGTGACAAAATCAGAACATAAAATAACAGTACGTTCCCATAACTCATGCTGCATCCAAGATTAACACATTCACTGACTGCTACATCTCCCCAGCTCTTGTTAGATATCATTGTATGAATCAGTACTTCCTTTGTGCTTTTTCTAAAGGCAATTTCTTCTTAAAATAAGACTGTCAAGGTGCCAGAGACCTCCAGGACTCACCCTGGGCTGAAGGTGTCAACCCGAGGTACACCCTGTGAGCACAAAATGTGCACTGGATATCAAACGAACAGTCCCCTCTCCACGTTGGGTCATAACTATGTCACTAGAAATCAATATTTCTCTTTTTTATTTTTTTACTTTAAAGAGATTAAGACAAAAGAGGGTAAACAAAGCAGATCAGAACAGAATAATGTAAGCAACACAGCACTTCCAACAAGACAACCGGTTATTAAAAGTAGCTACCATAATGTCTTTCTTTGAAATAGTTGAGCATACTTTCACATACAATAGTACCAAACACAACAAAACAGTATAAAACCATTCAAGAGGATAAAAGTATTACAGGGCATTCAGAACCAAATGACAGAAAATGAACAATGGCGACTATATTATCTCATTTTCCATAGAGAATTTGTTAATACTATCACACATATTAAAATCCAATAAGACACAACATGATAGAACCAATGGAATCAGAAGAACAAAAGCATGGTAGGACTTCAAAGCAAGATGATGTTAAATCAGCAATGGCTGCCATTTTGTCTTATTTTCTTCAAAATAACTGTTCATATCATCACACAAATAAAATCAAACAAGACAGAATAAAACCATTCCAACTAATGAATGAAAACATTATAAGGCTTCAAAGCAATGTAATGGAGAATCATGATTACCATAAAATCTTATGTACTCTTACCATTTCTTACACTAGGGAGACTATACAGTATTTACACACGTGAGTTTGATTTATTTCGCTTATAAGTGGCATCTACTTATTTATAAATATCTCAAGTGGTCATTCTTTATAGCTGAGTAGTACTCCATTGTATAAAAATACCACAACTTTTTTATCCATTCCTCAGTTGATGGGCACTTAGGTTGTTTCCAAGATCTGGCTTTTACAAATTGTGCTGCTATAAACATGGGCACAAGTATATCACTGTGGTATGATGCTTTTAGTTCTTCTGGGAATATGCCTAGAAGTGGAATAGCTGGAACAAATGGGACTTCCAATCCCAGTTTTTTGAGAAATCTCCAGACTGACCTCCACAAAGGTTGTACCAGTCTACACTCCCATTAACAGTGCAAGAGAGTTCCTTTTCGCCACAGCTTCTCCCGTGTTTGTTGTTGGTAGTTTTCTTGATCCTGGCCATTCTTTCTGGAATGAGATGGAATCTCAGCGTTGTTTTAATTTGCATTTCTCTAATGACTAATGATGATGACCATTTTTCATGTATTTATTTACCATTTGTATTTCTTCATCTGTTCATCTCATTTTTGGATTCGGTCTTTGAATTTTGGGGGTCTGATTTTTTTTATTTCTTTATATGTTTTAGACAGAAGTCATTTGTCTGAGGGACAGTTCACTAAGATTTTTTTCCTAGTTTGTGGGTTTTCTTTTCACTGTGCTGGAGGGTTTTTTTTTTTTTTTTTTTTTGGCATGTAGAAACTCTTTAGTATGACGTGATCCCAGTTATTGATTCTGGGAATTTTTTCCCGAGTGGTTTGATTCCTGTGCATGAATTCTCTATCTACCCCTAAATCTTCAAGATTTTTACCTAGTTTGTCTTCCAACAGATTTAGTGTTTCTATTTTAATAATTACATCTTTGATTAATTTAGATTCTAGTTTAGTACATGGTGATAGGTATAGGTCTAGTTTTAGTTTTCAGCATATGGAGAGCCAGTTTTTCCAGCACCATTTATTAAAGAGACTATCATTCATCCAGAGAACATGTTTGGTGCCTTTATCAAAGATAAGGTGGTTGAGTGTGTTTGTAGTTGTGGTTGTATCTTCTAAACTATTCCATTGATATTCAGATCTGTTTTTATTCCAGTACCATGTTGATTTTATTACAGTAGCTTTGTAGTATAACTTCAAATTAGGGATTGTGATGCCTCCTGCCTTGCTTTTGCTGCTTAGGACTGTCTTGGCTATTCCAGGTCTCTTCTGGCTCCAGATAAGTTTTAGGAGTGATTTCTGTAGATCTATGAGGTATGTTATTGGTATTTTCATTGGGATTGCATTGAATTTGTATTCTTCCTACTCATGGACAAGGGATGTCTTTCCATTTTCTGAGATCTTATTCAATTTCTGTTTTCAGAGTATTATAATTTTCCCTGTATAGATCTTTTACTTCTTTTGTGAGATTAATTCCTAAGTACTTAATTTTTTTGGATGATATGTAAGGGCTATGGCTTCTCATTTCTCTTTCAGTGATTTTGTTGTTATTGTATAGAAATGCTAATGATTTTTGAGTATTGACTGTATCCAGCTACATTGCTGAATTTATTTATTGTATCTAGGAGTCTTTCAATGGAGTTTTATGAGTCTTTATGTAGAGTATCATGTCATCTGCAAATAAAGATAATATAACTTCTTCTTTTCCTATCTTTATTCCTTTTATTTCTCTCTCTTGCCTAATTACTCTGGCTAGTATTTCCAGTACTGCGTTGAATAGGAGTGGTGATAAGGGACATCCCTGTCTTGTGCTTGATTTTAAGGTAAAGGCTTTCAGGTTTTGGCCATTTAATATGATGCTGGCTGTTGGTTTGTTGTAGATGGCCTTTATTGTATTGATGTAAAGACCATCTGTTCAAATTTTTTGTAAGGTTCTTATCATGAATGAGTGTTAGACCTTATCAAAAGCTCTTTCTCCATCTGTAGAAATCATCATGTGATTCTTACTTTCGGCACTATTGATATGGTGGATACATTTATTGATTTACATATGTTGAACCATCCCTGCATGCCTGGGATGAATCCCACTCGGTCATGGTGTATAATCTTCTTGATGATTTGCTGCATCCTGTTTGCCAATATTTTATTGAGGGTTTTTGCATCTGTGTTCATTAGGGAGATC